TTATTAGTATTGTTCTTCCGACGTCTGATTTCTTTTTAAAAAATGCGTTTCTAAAGTGCATAAACTTTTGGGATTGACTGTATAGCCAATACATCCTTAACAGATTCAATCGCTTGGCGAACGCGACTTGAATTTCAAAAACATTTGGAGTCTGACAATAAGAAGTGTCTTCTTATCAGATGAAATTATTCACCGTCTGTCGCATCGATTCGTTCGGTAAGATCTACTGTTGCAATCACGTAATGTTCTGTGCAACACATTTTATTATTACTCTATGCCTTACGCAATTAACTACTGATGTCTCAGTAACACAAATTATCTAATACTCGAAACGCTTTATTGCAATTATGACTCTATAACATTTACTGAAACGTATAATTCTAGCTTTATTGGACATCATGAATAATTCTGTACTTGACTTTTCGGAAATAAATCGAACCAGGGAAAATAAGAGAAAAGAACGTCTTTGACTGATCTCAGAGCCTTATCGAAATTCAGGTCACGTTGAGAGCACGTGGGGAGAGGAGAGAACGTCTTGCCCACTCCTCTAAAAGTGTCTCGCTCTCATTTTCACTTCCGCAATTATAAATAATATACATATATTTCCGCGGTTGCCTGCGATCATTCGAAACGGTATTATTAGATAAAATTGAAGAGCGTCGCGAGCCGATGCGTAATCTACGGGTAGAAGCGACAGCTCCATGCGCGTAGTCGAAATACTTAGGGAAGTGGAACACCATCTGAATGTAAGGGCTATGAAAGTAAAAAGTCTACGGTACTATAAATTCTTTTTTACATCTCGCGTACTTTTATGTCCGATGTTTATGCTGGATGATATTAAAATTTTGAATATGGAAGCCTATGGTAATCTTATGAATTATGGATTTTAATATTATTAGATTTAGCAGGAGGGAACGCGTATGTTATGAATAATATGTATAAGTTAATTATATATCAGGCATTATCAGATAGATGTTTCATCGAATTTAATGACGACAAGAGAGTAATAAATTAGTTATGAATGAAAAATACTTGAGATGTGTTGCCTTACATTTTCTATTTTCTTCTTGTATTTCCCTTCATCATCCTAATCGTTTTTTAAAGGATGATATATTGAAATCTTCCAGCGACCTTTCTATACCGAGTATAGAACGAAACTGAACAAAGAGAGTTTAGAATACAATACGAAGCAGTGACGACGACTATAAACTCTTTCACTGCTTTCGTAAAGAAAATAGATGAGAGAATGACTTGCACTATTATCAGTCACCGAAGGTGATTAATTTTTCTAATTGCCTTGAGTAAAAATATGTACTATGTAGCATAAACTTGTCGTGTTTAATTTCGGTCCGAAAGGACTTTTCTTCGACGTGGAGTAAAAGTGTGGCATTTTTTTCAGCCGCTTGGTATCCGACAGATCGTCAATAGAGCACGTGGTTTCCGCGCGACAGGGGTGTTACCAACGTCTCGCCTGGTCGTTAATGAAATTTCTGACGGTCTTCATTTAATTACCTTTGTCCCTCTCACTCGCTGATGTTCAGTCGCGGCGATCCTCTGGCCACCCTTTTAACAGATTAAGGCTGATGAGGCCTAACCGTGGCGGACAGATCGATTCATGATCGACGATCTGGCCGCTGCTAATTGCTGTAAGTCTCGCTTGGCAAATATGATTCAAGCCGGTTCTCCTCTACATATGCCGCTTAATATCCACGTGCTTTTTATGCATTTTCATACGCAAATATAGCACTCTATCGCGCCAACCCATCTCAACGGTTTAATTAAAATTCTAATCATTGTGTACAACGCCACGTGTACTTTAGTCGATTTGTAAGAAGATTTAATGGAACTTTGATATTAAATTGTTTTTTAACAGAACCTTAGATTCGACGCAACTTCCTTTCTTTCTTTTTTTCTTTCTTCTTCGTTAATAAAGAACTTCGATTTAATGAGCGTGTTAGTCCCGCATATGTCGCACTTTTCTAGGTCACGGTTGCTTGATCGTTCTTGTGTTATAAAGTGATGGACGTCGAACTTTCTCAAGTAGGGGACGATCCCTGAATTATTCCGACTTTTTCGGTGGAAAAGTTCTCGCACATTTTTTCGCGCACAACTGTCGCACCCACTCGATCAGAAAATTGTTGTTCAGTCCAGTGTGAAACTTTTCCATCGCATCCGCTTAGGCAGCTTTTAATATCCACGATGAAATAAATTAATATCGCAACGATTGTCTTGAAATATTATATGAAATCCGGTTTGCACTTGAATTTAGTAAAAATCATGTTGATTTATAAAACTCTTCAAGAACACTGACTGATTTAAACTCAGAAAGAAACGGGTAACGATTAAAAAAAAAACGATACGCGTGCTCGAACAGTAAATAAATAATATATTACAGTGATAAATGAAAATCCTATCGCCTAACGAAGACACTTCACTTTAAATAAATTACTAATTTCTTTATCTCAAGAATGAGTTAGTATATTTGTTCTCATGTTTCCTTCTTCTTTAATTCGTCTGCGACAAACATTAAAACCAATTTTCCATCACATTTAGAACAAGGATTCTCTCCCAGAGAGAACTGTCTGTCGGGTAGGGTGCAAGGGACCGCGAAGAAGAAGGTGCGCGACCAGCGGTGGATGCGGCACGACTGTGCAGATCGCGAAAACAGAGACGAAGAAATATCGGCCGTCAACGTTCAACCGGAACAGGGATGCAGGGAACCGTTCGTCCGAAGGGGTTGCAAGTGGCATCTACCACCCTTCGTGAAACTCCGCGAGCTTATCGATCCGTTCGTTCTCCGCCGCTAAATTGGAGACGGACTGTACCTTCGCACAGTAATCCCGTTCCTTGTAAATCAATTCTCAGATTGGGACCATTTATCGTTGACCGGTTTCATTGCACAAGAAATTCTATATTATAAACTAAGTAAAAAAAAAATAAATGAACAGATGAATTCACACGTTTATTTCTATAACTATTTTACACAGCGTTGACTGAATTAGTAATTATTACAAGGAAGCATAGTTAATTAAATATATCGCACTATTTCTTAATTATCCAGCAACATAATTCTAATGTTTCCCAGTGACTTTGTCTAGAATCGCCTGAGTAAGGTATCTGCCAGCGAGATCTCTAGCCAGGCTCGTCAATTGATCTCCAATCTTTGGTTTTTTAGTGGTGGAGGGAGGCGGCGGATAGTATCCTTGATATCCACCCGGATATCCTTGTGGTTGATAACCCTGCGGATACCCTTGAGGATACCCTCCTTGTGGGTAGCCTTGATTGTACCCAGGATAATAGTTACCGTACGGATTAGTCTGAGCAGGATAGCCAGTCGGATATCCAGAATTTTGAGTAGGGTAATTGGTTCGCGTGGCCTGGCCCTGGCTGGGATAACCGGCGTTTACCGAATTTGCATCTACCCGTTTAACGCTTTGTTCATTAGTCGAGGAACTGGGATAACCAGAACTCGAAGGATATCCTTGGGAACTCGAGGAGGGATACGAGCTTCCGGGATAACTGCTCGAGCCTGAAGGGTAACCGCTGCCCGATGGGTAACCCGAACGTGTTGGGTATCCGGAAGAACTTGACGGATACCCTGACTGTGATGGATAGCCGGACGAACCAGAGGGATAACCAGAACTAGAAGGATAGCCGGATGAACCGCTGGAGGGATAACCAGAACTAGAAGGGTAGCCGGATGAACCGCTGGAAGGATAATTGGACGAACTACCCCTGGAGGGATAACCCGAGGAACTACTGGAAGGATAACCGGATGAATCGCTGGAGGGATAACTGGACGAACTACCCCTGGAAGGATAACCCGAGGAACTACTGGAAGGATAACCGGAAGAACTGCTGGAAGGATAACCAGAACTGGATGGGTAACTGGAAGAGGGATAACCGGACGAGCTACTTCTGGAAGGGTAACCAGAGCTGGAAGGATAACCGGAACTAGACGGGTAACTAGATTTCGGCTGATTTTCCGAGGATGGATAAGAGCTCTTAGAATCGGTGCTGGGATATCCACTACCTGTCGGGTATCCCACCTGTGCCTCCGTGTTAGACGACTTCACCTCGGTTTCTCGCCTCGGGACTATCCTGTTGTCACCGTCGAACTCTGTGAACATTTCGTCATCTACCTCCTAATTGTTTAGAATTATTCATTCCTAGATCGCGCCCCATGCCATGCTGAGTCCAAACACAATTGTTACCACTTCCGTGTCGCTTGATAAGCTTCGATGTTTTTGTGAATATTACGCTGCCAATGCTCGAAGCATTGTTCCATCTTAATTAGTATGCTGCCAAGCTATCTTGTCATTTTCTGATAATCCTTCAGTTTTTTTATATTATTCGTGTAACTTTTAACTACTTGATGCTATGCAACGAGTGATTCAGTCATGCTGCTCACTTTTCCTTCGTGTTAAGACTAAAGATATTTCCTTTGTGTTAGGTGTTTTCCTTGTGTTTCCGTTGTGTTAAGAGTGTTGTGTTAGAGTAATGATTGCTACTGTTACGTCCAATGATTCACGCGCGTTACTTTTCGGGACACGTGGAAGGTCATAGAAAGCTATTTCACAGAATAATTACAAATTTGAATTTGAAATCAGACACCTACGAAATGCTGAGGGATTGTATGTCATACATATATTTTATACATTTGTTCAGTACATAGGAATATTAAGTACTATTGATCTAACACCTGTTTTTTAATAATATTATACAAGCGTAAAATCATGGCACTAGAGAGAAAAAATTCTTGAGTAAATTCTGGCCCCAAAATTAAATCTAGTTAGAACGTAAGTAGGTGTGAGGTATATTTTGAAGTAGCGGGCACTTCATTTAACCGGAAAACGTCCAGATTCTGTTTCCGTGCTGATCGAAACTGGTGTGAGAAGTGTAATAACCGGAAGGACCTGACTGAGTACGAGGCTTGGTCGTGGTGGTCGCACCGTAAGATCCGTAATTTCCGAACAAACGGTCGAAAATAGAACCGCTGCCGATTGTGTTCCTTGATCCGGAGTTACCGCTGACTCTTCCACCGAATCCGTTCGAGGAGGACCTGGGCGGCGGTGTAGGCGGCGGCGGCCTAACGTTTCCTGGTCTTTGCGTCGGATATGCTGTCAAATTGGAGAGTGGTAGTCAAAAAAAAAACTGTAGCTCAAAAATAAGCATGTTCCTGTTCGTGCCAATTGCTATAGAATCTTCTTTAACAACTGAACCGTGTTATTATTACGTACTAATTGTTTGTAATTTGAATCTGACAAAAACTCGAGATTGTTAGTTATTATTAATGTAGCCCGTGTTAAAATAAAGTTAATTTGTCAAGCATGCTTTGCTTCGACTGTTAATTCTTCTGGGTTATCATTTCGGACTTCCACTCTTCAATTTACGAACTGCATCATATTTGAATGCGTAAAAATGCGGAG